CCTTGCGGCTATATTTAGTTCTTTCTTTTCAATCGAAACTCTTTCCGCCGACCACTTTGGAGTCTCATCTGAAATTAGTGGGGCTAACCACTTTTTCATCTCATCCAGCTTCTTTGTTCTGATCAATTACTGGCAGTGATCCCCAATATTCGTTGACATGCCCAAGACTGTTTGATTTTCTCACTATCACACTTCACACTCATGCCTCTGACAACCACATAGTCAACTTCTTTGAAGGCTGCTGCTAGCTACTTTTGCTGGGGTATTAGTGTATTGTATGCAATGTAGAACTCTCTTACCCAGTTTGGAATATAAGGGCAACGGGATTTGGTGAAGATTTGGAACTTGTGGTATCTCAGATACTCAATTATCTTTGGGTGCTTCTCTATAACCCCATCTATGGACAGACGCTTTCCCTCCAGAATTGTCCTCAGCCTCTCAGCCTTTAATCTATTCATTGATTTAGGTGGAGGACCTTGTACTGGAGGTGCTAATATCATTGCCTGTTCTGGAACTGGAGGTGTAGTAGTGGTACGCTGGGGAGTCCTAGCCCCTGGATGGATCATTCAGCTTATTTATTTGCCGCTCAGACCTCTGTGTTGTTAACATATCATCCTCATCATATCTCACACCTTTGCTTTTAGATTGGTTGGGGTCATTTCTGTAAAAGCCATTACTGCCAGTGCTTGCATCTGATAATTCAAAGGTCTTGTGTTTGCTCTTGCCTTTTTCACCAGTTGTGGAAAGTTTAGCAACCTTGTTTTTGAATGCATCTGCATCCTCGTTGATTGTAATACTTTTTGTTTTACCTTGGAGTGGCCTGCTTCTTCTTGCAACTTTAGTTCTAGCCATTTCTGCAAAGAATTCAGAAGAAGTTAAAACAACTAAATCAAATTCAGAGGGGTGCAATTGCAGAAAAACTCGCCGAATAGATCGACAAGTCGCCAAGTTGCTTTGGCAAGCAGGATTTTATCCACCGAAGGATACAGTGGTAAAAGGTTCAGGGGTGCAGACAAAAAGGGCGACCACGGAGACTTTCGGCGAGTCGCCGAATACTTTTGGCGATCAAAGATTTCTAGCTGATCGTTACAGAGCCCTTATCATAAGTAGCATGAAATTAAATGTGAGATGGAGTCATTTGGCGAACCGCCCAGTGATTCGGCGAACTCGCCTAAGCACGCCGAATAGTCTAAATTTATCAGAAAGGCACAATACATGACATATGATAATATTACTTGTAAAGAGAATATAAATATCACAATTAAATGCGGGGTTTGGAGAACCAACCTTTTAGGCAGATTAAGTCAAGTTTGTGATGCTAGGCTGCAGGTTAGTACAGATCCAAGCACTACTAAAGCAGCTAGAACACTTACGAGGTGCGAAAATTCTGAAAATACTAAGTAGGTGTGATTTTGCGAAAATTGATAGTGAGATAATATATAAAAAAAGTTGAAATTCAAGGCTCGTGGCTTTATAAAAACCATCCAGATCTCACTCATTCGGTGACATTAGTTGAATTTGGTCCACTACTTGGGCGATCCACCGAGTGTTTATCTACCTCGCAAAGTTTTACAGGACCTTCAGTCAAAGTAAGGATCCAAACGACGGTCTTTGCGGGGTCGCTGATCTAGTCGGCGACTCGCCAATTGAACTTGTGTAATTCATGCTGTACTTTTCACAAACTTTCATGCCCAATCCTATAAAATCAAAGCACCTTTATTTCAAAAATAACATAATCAAAGCAGTTAAGGGTTTTGGGTTGTCTCCCAAACAACGCCTTAGTTAACGTCGTGGCACGATGCGGGTTAACACCTAAACTTCACTTTTGGGGCTAGCCAAAACATCATTTGGCTGCCCCTTGCTTCGTGCCTGATGGAGATGAGGCATCACATGACCCAAGAGAGTTTCAATTAGCTGGATAGATCTAGAGTGAGAACTGCTCATCTGATTTAGCACTTCTACATTTTCCCTAATCTCCTCTAATACTCTATCTTGCTCATTTAGTTAATTGGAAGGATGGGGAGAAGGATATGTACGTGTCTCCCCACGAGCGTTAGAAGCAAAATGATTCGGAAGGTGGTTGGTCGGAGGATATGCTTTCTCATATCCTCAACAAAGTTGAGGGGTAGGACAAGATTTTGAAAGAAATGAAAGAATATATGTCGATCCTTATCTAGACGGTTACCTCTCATTCTGTCTCGATCAAGCAGTTGGAGACCCAAATGGGTCATATCTCGTCTCATTTAAACTCGAGATGATAAGAGGTGTCGCCTAGTGATACTATGACCAACCCCAAGAATGAGGTTTGAGCGTGGATTTGCTTCGTGCTGCGACGTTAACTAAGGTGTTGCTTCGGTGGCAACCTAAGTTTTATTTTCTTTCTTTTTGAGTTTGAAATAATGGTGTGTGGATTATGTAGGTCAAAGTGTGGAAGTTGTTTGAAAAGTGCAGGTTGACGAGCTAAAATTCCAATCGGCGACTCACCGAACAGGTCAGTGAGCCCGAATTGGACTGCCATTGGACTCAAGAAATTTTGAAATTAAAGTTTGTAAACCTCATTGAGCTCAGGATCAAATTGGTGAATCGCCGACCAAGTCAGCGACTACGACTTTGTCCGCCGTTTGGACCCCCAATTTAACTGGAGGTACTGTAAAACTCAGCGAGGTAAGAGCCCACTCGGTGTGATATCGAGTGGGTCGGCGAGCAAAACTTATGTCACCGAATGGGCGATAATTGGATGGTTTTTAAAGGCCAAAAGTTTAAACTTTCAAACTCTTTCATTTTCCCTCACTTTTGAACTTCCCAAACTCACACCCGCACAATATTTTCCATATTTTTGCATTTTTATCACATTTTAATCGTCATTTGTGTGTTCGGAGTTGGAATTGTTTGCCGCCTAGCGTTTCAAATTATTTATTCAGCTTCTAAGGTTGGTTTTCGAACCCAGAATTCACATTTAGTGATTTGAACTCATTTGCAATTGTTCTTATCTTAGTGCTATGTGATGGCCTCTCTAATTGTAATTGTATGCTTGATTGTCTATTGTAATTCAAATATCTTGCCTAAGTTGTCGATCTCATTGATTTCCTGAATGTTGTATCCTTTAAAATTGGTCAAAACTATTGAGTGTTGCTTTGTTGATGTTGGGTCTAGTCGGGTGAATTCTAAGTAACCCGAATTTGTGCCAAATGACGTAATTTTCCCAATGATGGAACGATTGAAGTCCTCCTTATCGCCTTTAATTTCATGATTAATCTTGACTTTGATTCTGTTAGTTTCGGTGAGAAGCCTGAGTTAGCCGAGTGCACTCGACGACTAGCCAAAAGTCCTTCTTGATCGCCCTTTCTGCGCCCCTAACCGCTAAAATGCACTGTAACTTTCAGCGGGCTAGTCTTAGCTCACCGAATGTTGTTGGCGATTCACCGAAAGGCCTTTCCCACCGACGACATGCCATTCTTCTGAGAAAATTTTGAGCCAATCCTTTCGACGAGCACGTTCTGGCTCACCAAAGTGATTCAACGACTCGCCAACCGGATCGACGAGTCTGTCTGCAAATATTCTTCTATGTTTTTACTTGAACTGTTCCTCACTTTCTTTGATGTTTTTGCAGATATGGCTAGGACCAAAATTGACATGCCTCCTCGTAAACCAGCACAAGGAGTAATCATAAACGAAGGGGGAACCAACCCTCCTAAAAAGGGAAGAACAAAACCTCAAACATGAGGCAAGGGCAAAGGCAAGAAGCCAGTTGCAGAGGTTCTGGAGCACAACTCTGGCAGGGTGAGAGAGTCCATCGACTCCCAAGCTACACTATTTGAGCTGGAGGACGACCAACCACTACAATCCAAGCAGATAGAACTCCGTGCTAGATCTCATCCTGACTCATCTAGAGTCCTAGCAGCTACCACTCCTTATCCAACAGATACAATGTCAGCTCCAGCACCTCATGTTGCTCCAGTGCCACATGTGGTCCCTCTTCCCAAGCTACTCAACATACTGAAAGTCGATGGGTTACAGACTATCCTAGATGAGAAGCTACTATCTACATAAAGCCTTGAGGGAAGACACTCTAGGGTGAGGGAGACACTCTAATACCATCGGTTTGAGCAGTTTACCAAACCCTGAGGCCCATACATCCCTATATAGGTCTGGGAGTTTTACTCAGCATATGGTGATCTGGTTCCTAAAAGCAAGGAGAAGTTCAGTGAGTTCAGACTGGTGGGGTCCATTATGGTACGGGGGACAATAGTACATTGTAGCCCTGATCACATCAACACGACACTTGATAGGGGATCAAACTTCGACTACCCCATTCTGGATACCACTACAACGTTATTGGATGAGCTCAAGGGCTAGCTGGCTCCCCTCATATCTGACCCCACCCCGAGGTGGATTGAGGCAGGAATCCCAATCGAGAAGAGGGACTTGAGTGTAGCTGCACGATATTGGTTTGGATTCATCAGCAGCTCAATTATGCCATCCACAATGAGTCCATTCTCCGCCATCCTAAGGTGGCCTGCATCGGGTCGATTATGTCTAAAAGGAGCATCGTCATGGGACTTATTATTGAGCAAGAGATGGCCATGAGGTCCAAGCAGAGACAGACCTCCCTGCCATTCCCGGTGCTGATTACAGAACTATGTCGACGTGCTGGAGTTCTTCGTGATGAGACGAGAGATTTTGAGGTGACTTCCACTTCCTCCACAGATATCTGGTGTATATAGGTCGAGTACACATGAGAGGAGGTCGACATGAGGAGAGCAACTCTGGTAGATACATCTCCGGAGGTGGACGTTGACTCTATACCTATAGAGACATCTTTTCCTACTCCGGCCTCTGGGCCTTCAGGTACATCCGCTCCTACTTCTTCCTCCCAAGGCCCTAGTACTTCTATCTCTTCCCAGCCTGCCAAGATTACTCAGGCTATGATCCTGAAGATGGGGTACCTGGCCCATTCAGCTGATGTGAGGGTGACCTGATTAGAGGTTGCGGTCCCATGGATGATTGAGAGTGTCATCCTTGCTGCACTGATTCCTCTCCGAACTTCCATTGACACTCTCACTGTGAGAGTTGAGACTTGTGAAAGCAGACATGGGGAGACTTCTGAGATTACGGCTTTGCAAGCTGATGTGGCATATCGGATGAAAGATGTAGACTATCTAAAGTCTACAGACTTCACTTCACTACTAGAGGCAGCGTATGATGTAGATGCCCTAGAGACTTTTGAGATTCCTCTAGCCACCACCAGAGAGGTATACTGGAATGGCATAGCAGCGGATGAGTCGGAGGCAGAGACCGACGAGGAGCAGATAGAGGTGTGGGAGGAGAGCATATATGGTGACCTGCCAGATCTAGAGGAGATGATTATATAGTCGGTGATCCAGACATCGCTGACAGAGATGTCCATGGCAGCTCCTAGTAGATCCGGAACTGTTGATGTGACCCCGGGCACTGAGGCCCAAGATCAGAGTTATGCACCGGGCACTGATGCCTCGACAGATAGAGCGACTGTTTAGACAGGATTTCTCTTTACCTCCCTCGATGTCTTATTTTATTGACTTTGTGGATATTTTCTTGCGTTTGAGGGTAAAATACTTTTGTTTTGTGGTGGGGTGAGGCCCACCTTTTGTGATTCTTATTTTGTTGACATTTTATGTATATACTGAGTTTTGGGCTATAAATTGTGTTTAGCACTATTTTTGTGGATGGTTGAGCTTGTGGCTCCTTGTTTGAATGTAAATGATTTAAATGATTTTTGGACCCTTTAGAAAATTTTGCCACCTCTTGTGTATTTAATTATGACTGTTCTTGTGCAAATTTGAGTATCGATCTTGATCAATACCGATGACTTAAATAGTGCTCATAATCGAACAAAAATGAATATGCGGCTATGATGAGGCCAAATTAAGTTGCATAGACAATATGTGAACTTTTTGCATCTCGTTGTGACTAGCCGGTTATCGAATGAGTCTCTTGTGATGATCATTGCACACTAGCGAAAGTGTGTAGTCTTGTTTGTTATTTGGTGGCAATGCCTTGTGTGATGAGCTTATCGTGAACTATGTGTGATGACACCTAGAATTTACCCCGTTGGTCCGATTGACTAAGTTATGCAATCTCTTGAAATGATCTTAGGCAGCTTTGAAGAGTGTGAAAAAAATTGACATTATACCTCTTTTGTGGCCAACCTTTTGTGTGTGTAATTTTTGCTTGAACACCCTTTGAGCCTTACCCTTTTTCTTGGAAGAAACTTGATGTAAATTGTGAGCTTTCTTTGTCCCTTCACCCATAATCCTCATGAGATGTGGTTGGTTTGAATATCCAACTTAGGCTTAAAGCCTAAGTTGGGGGTGTGGTGAAAAGAGAAGTTAAATTAAGAAGTCCAAAGAAGTCCCCTTTGATCCATGATTGTGAAAAAGATGGAACCCCTCCAAACAAAAAACAGAGAGAAAAAGAAGTGAATAATGGGGTGACTTATGAGCATAAATGAGAATGATGAGGAGAAGGAAAGGAAGTGTTGGTCATACCGCATTTCATGAGGATAGTAGCCACTAAACCTAAATGACCATACCTTTGCACTCATCCCCGTTACAAGCCTTGAAAAGACCTTTGTGATCTTGAGTGAGCTGAAACAAGTGTTGATTGGAAAATAAGGGCAAACCTATGGGTGGAGTCATGCATGTGTTCATGTTTGTAAGTGTGAGTGTTGATTGTGATTCTGGAGCAATAAATTGTTGAACCATTATGTGTGAATATGGAATCATCCTTTGTGTGAGGGCATTTGAGTACCTTTGTTGAGCTTGAATTTGCATTTGAAGCAAGTATTGTGAACTTGAGAATCTTTGTCAACGGTGAGTCACAACTTGAATCTTTGAGTGCACAATTGATCCTTGCATGAGTAAGTTGAGTCTTTTTGTGTTCATTCATGATTGAGTCTTATGTAGCACCGTTTGAGACATCTTTTCTGAACTGTTGAACTTGAGTTTTACTTGAGGACAAGCAAAAGTTTAAGTTGGGGGTGTTGATAAGTCCACGATTTGGACTCATTTAGAGCTTTATTTAGATAGATTTTGTGTCCTCAAATGCTTGTTTTGTGCCAATAACTGATGTAAAACCCTTGATTTCCAGGTGTTTAGATCGAGGAATGAAGCATAGACACTAACTTGCAAAAAGGAGCAAAGCGAGCTGAAAGAGCGAAGAAATGAAGGCATGGTGATCGCCGAGTCCATTTGGCGAGTTGCCTAATGACCTTTTGACCGCCTAAAGTTCCAGTGTGCCAAGCCCTGAAGGAGAAAATCAATTTGGCGATAGAAATGAGCAGTCGGCGTGTCGTCGTGTGGTTCCGCGATGCAGTGTTGGATCGCCCAAAGTTATAGAACTCGAGGATGATGAAGGCCAAAGCAGAAAGGCGATGAACTTGGCCAAAGGGCGGATTGCCGAGTTGATGGGTGAGCCCGACTTATTGCACCGAATGGTCCTTCGCAGAATATTTTTGGCAACTATAAATACATTTTCAAACATTATGTTCAGTATCAAATTTTAGTCTGAACATTCATTAGAGTAATTTTTGAGTTTGAACTCTGAGTTTTGAGACAACTTTTCCTTAGCTATAAAGAATTGAAGTTTTCCATTTTTGAGAAATTGGAAGTGGGTCTTTGAGATTCTTCAATTTGGACCTTTGTAAAGACGAAATTAATCTTACCAGTTGATGGAAACACAATTGGGTAACAATTTCTACTTTTTATGATGTCTAGCTAAAACCCCAATTCTTGGGGAGTGATTATGTGATTATGGGTTGATTTAGCTTGTGGGTATTGCTAATTGTTAGTTTAAATGTTGTTTAGAAGTGATTTCATTCAGTAATTGTTGTTTAATTTAAAGGGTTGTAGTTGCAAATGCAATTCTACCTTAGTGTTTTTGGCTTGCTTGAGAGAGAGGTTTTAAAACCAAGATTACTGAATTGATGGTCTGTGGGTATTGGGTTGTCATGTGTTCAGCTCTAGAGAGTGAATTCTAAACCCTTTTCCACACATTCAACTCAAGAGAGTGAATGGATTAAAGTGAAAGTTGTTCTTATTTGCTTGCTTGTTGGTGTTCGAGAGAAAGCAATTTGATTCGGGGTAAATTGTTCGATAGAAAGTTTATCCCCACTAAAGTCTAGCTTAGTCACTGATTTATATCTATTTACTAACAGTTGCAATTACCCATTTGTCTATATTAGCCTATAATACAATCACATCCCAAGAACCCGTCTCATTATTTGTTAATTCGTGTTGTTTATTGTTGTTGTAGCTGATAGTTAAAACAAAACCCCCATGTTATTTGACATTCGTGTCACCCCTTAATTTGAATTATGTTTTTACTCGTAAATGTCTATTCCTATGATTGACTTGAGCATATTCATACTTTACTCTTGAATCTTAAACACGTATCACTCCCTGTGGGATTTGACCCCAACTCATTTAGTTGGGTTATTATACTAACTAGCGATCGTTGACACTTAGAATTGGATAAAGTGTCCTTGATACGTTTAATCACCTACCTCAAAGTTGAACCACAACTTTGAACCATAACTTGGAAGCCTTCCCTCTTTTGAAGAGCCTCGTATCACTACCACACTATCAATATCATAATTACACGTCCACACAAAAATAACAATAACCATATTGTGCCATAAAATTTATACCAAAAAATAAGTCAAAAATGGACCTTCATAGCTTAATAAAGAAACTAAAAACTAACTCAATTATTATGTTCCCCTCGAGATGAGGATCACATGCCATAAAATTGGGAAAAGACAGTGGCAAATTAAAACAAATGATCCGAAAAGCTAACTTTACAAAAAGAGAAAATCAAGAATTTTGAGGTTCAAAATGGGGGTGAATTGCAAAATAGAACCTTGAATACATAATATAACACAAAGAGGGAAGAATTTTAACTTTGAACCAAGAGAAATGGTCAAGAATAGAGGAATTCTCCCTCATATTGAGCTCAACAACGGATGAACAAAATTCTCACTCATTTGGAATAAAATAAAGAAGAAGAGATTTAAAGTACATATCGATCTCGCTCCTGTAGACTTTTGGTCGTAGGTACGATGTCTCAAGTGTGGAAAAGAGTTCCTAAGAGTAGAACCATCAAAATCCTCCAGCTTCATCAGAGCAACGACAATCTTGAAAGTGTAAGCTTTTGTTGACATCACCAATGATATCACCACCTTTCACTAGTACAGTTGGCTAGCCGCAAGAGCAGCATTGTTGAAGTGGGCTAGGCTCTGCCGGTGCATCAGCATCAACAACTGCAATAATTTTTCAAGTCCTCAAACAAACTCTTAGAATTTATTCAGAGTCCTGTGAATGCAAACGAAACATGCTACCTAACTATAGCATTCATGACTCAATGAAATCGACAAAACAACCGACTAAGGTTGACAAAATGTTGACCAAGGTCAACAGTATAACAAAAATAACTAAAAATAAGTAAACAACCAAGCATTCAAAAATCAAATCAACAACTATTGGACCCAAATCAAAAGTCCTACTAGACCAAATGCTTCAGAGCTAACAGTGTTGATAGAAATCTCACTGGATCCCATTTACTAAGAATGTGACTGAAATCAACCCTTTTAACACAAAAGCTCCAAACGAGAAAAAACTCACTCAAAACTCTCTTGACTACCTCAAAAAGCATGTCGTCACCCATCCCAACATGCTAAAAACACATTGTAGAAGCTACAAAAAGGAGAAAAAATAGTAAACAAATATGAAAGCAAGCAAATGACCATGACTTCATTACATTCTATTTCTTTCATGTACAAAATTTTGGAAAAATCATGTTCAATATGTATTTTTACAGTAAACAAAGGCCAATATATTAAAATATAAATCCAAGTTTGAACATAAAATCTTCGGAGATGTGCTACCCTTATGTCGTAAGGGGTGGTGTGATAGTCTTGTAAAATTTTAGAAACAACAAATCCTTGTGGCACCCTTGCGATAGAGTTGTTGTCTGTAACACCTTGATCTTAGAAAGAGCTACTTTTATAAATAACTAAATTGGAAAGATCTAAGTTAAGGAAATTCATCTGAATTAAGGAGGGGTATTTTGGCCTTTTCCTTACCCCACTAAGTTTGCACATTTTGGTTACCCCAAATAGGGGTCTAAACCGATTTAGATCAGTTTTCACAATTCCTAAACACGCTTAGGGTTTTAGAGAGAAGTGCAAGAGGAGAAAAAAAAGAAGGTCAAGTGTTCGTTCAAGATTCTTGCGATTGTTGAGGATTTTTACCAAGGATTTGATTCTTATGAGGTATGTAAGTTCTCATAGTGTTGGGTTCAATCACCTACACGCCAATCATGTAATTTTTATCCA